CTGGGAGGCGGCTACTGTGAGGAGGGGACGAAACACACAGACCTAATTAATCGTCGATTCCCCAGAAGATCTGGGAAAACATGGGAAGGGGGGGGGGGAGACGAAAGCCCAGCAGATGTAGGGAGATTTGGGGAATCCTGTGATCTTTGTGCCTATTTATTCGTGTGTCCCAAAGGGCCCCTTCCTATTGGGAGGCCGCGTAGCTGGGCTCCTGGCGCTGCCTGCGGGTCCTGCCGCTGCGGCCGCTTCCGTGTCCGCGCCTGGGGGTGAAGAAGCCGCCGTCGAGGGCCGCGCGGCCGGAGCAGCGGCTGCCAGGCCGGAGCAGAGGCTGCCGGGGTAGGTCCGAGGCCTGCCGGTGGGTCCGGGCGGCGAGGCATGTTGTCGACCAGACGTAAGAGTGACCTTTCGCCGGAGTGACCTGTGGTGCGGGCGCAGATGGGTCCCCAGGTGGCTGAAAGCGAGGCAGGAGCAGCGGCTTGCGCGCCCAGGTTTGGCCCCCCCGGGGCCCCCCAAAAGCCGCGCACCAAAGGTCACTCTTACCCAGGGTCACTCTTGCGTGTAGCCGATGTTGGCGGCGCGCACAGGGGGGTATGGGGAGGGGGGAAGGCTTCTTAGAAGCACCCCTGCTTCTTAGAAGGCGCGGGCCTTGTCTACAAATGTAAGGCCGGCGCCTTCTAAGAAGCAGCCTCCTTCTAAGAGCATCCCGCCGCGGTGGCAGAGCAGATTTGCTTCTGATTTTTTTGGGGGCCGCTTTTCACGCGACAAACTTGGCGCGTGCCTGGCGTCCAGAGGGTGCGCCAGGGGCGACCAGGACAGCGCCCGCAGGAGCATTCGGGGGCGCGCTGGGACGAACGCCCAGGCCGGCCCAGGAGAGCGCCGAGAACGGCGCCCAGTGGGTCAGGAGGGGAAAAGACACACAGACACAATTAAGCGTCGACTCCCCGGAAAGCATGGGAAAGCATGGGAGGTGGGGGGAAGACAGACGCCCAGAAGATATGGGACAATAGGGGGACTCCCGTTTTTTTTTTTTTGTTTGTTTGTTTGTTTTTGTATTTTGATTGTTGTTGTTGTTGTTGTTGTTGCTTCTGCTGCTGCTGCTGCTGCTTTTTTTTGTCTCTCCGTTTTTTTTTTTTTTTTTTTTTTTTTTTTGTTTGCTTTTTTTCTTTGATTTTTGTTGTTGTTGATGTTGTTGGTGTCGTTGTTGTTGTTGTTGTTGTTGTTGTTGTTGTTGTTGTTGTTGTTGTTGTTGTTGTTGTGTTGTTGTTGTTGTTGTTGTTGTTGTTGTTGTTGTTGTTGTTGTTGTTGTTGTTGTTGTTGTTGTTGTTGTTGTTGTTGATGTTGTGTTGGTGTTGGTGTTGTTGTTGTTGTTGTTGTTGTTGTTGTTGTTGTTGTTGTTGTTGTTGTTGTTGTTGTTGTTGTGTTGTTGTTTGTTGTTGTTGTTGTTGTTGTTGTTGTTGTTGTTTTGTTTTTGTTGTTGTTGTTGTTGTTGTTGTTGTTGTTGTTGTTGTTGTTGTTGTTGTTGTTGTTGTTGTTGTTGTTGTTGTTGTTGTTGTTGTGGTGTGTGTGTGTGTGTATGTGTGTGTGTGTGTGTGTGTTTGTTTGTGTGCCCCAGGGCCCCTTCCGTGGGGGCGGCTGCCGCCGTCGCCCTCGAGCGCTGGGGCGCGCCGCCACGGGTCGGGCCTCGGCTGCCCCGGGGGGGGCTGGCGCCGCTGCGGCGCTCCCTGCTCCCTCCCCTGATCTCGGGAGCGGAGAAGAGGGGGGCGATGACTACGGGGGGGTGGATATCCTGGCGCGGGCCATGATATCCAAGAGGGGGGTGATGACTATGAGGTAGATATCATGGCGCGGGCCATCATAGGGGTCGGGACTTCCGGAGATCGCACATGGAACAAATAAACGCATCGCATCTTTGGGTGATTATCGGGGGCGGAGAAGAGGGGGGCGATGACTACGGGGGGGTGGATATCATGGCGCGGGCCATGATTTTTCCTCAGATTTCATTGCCCAGGATCGGCCAGCGTTGCCTCCCCGACTGCCAGGCCTCGACGAGGAGCAAGACTGCACAAGCATACGCTTGCGGAGGTCCGCGCGGACCTTTTGGATCTTACCAGCCTGGAACATATCCCTATCCCTATGCTGGGCATCTCCTCATCACGATGCCAATCTCAGGGGTTCCCTCATTTTTTGAGGGCGCATCCCTAAGATTGTCATCGCTTTTTGGCGTGTCAATCTTAGGGATAGGGATACGTTCGAGGCTGGTAAGGATCTGCGCTGGGCCGCGCGGCGGAGCCTCCAGCGCCGTTCCGCCCCCCCAAACAAAAGTCCGCCCAGAGCTCTGACAGTTTCGTCGGGGCTCGACCTGACAGGTGCTTTTGTGCCGTTCTTCGGGGGCGGAAAAGAGGGGGGTGATGACTACGGGGGGGTGGATATCATGGCGCGGGCCATGATTTTTCCTCAGATTTCATGGCGCCTCTTCTTGTTTCATGACGTCCCTGGCCCCCCCGCTGGGCCGCGCGCATGCCGCCGGTCATGATTTGCACCCCCCCCTCTTGGACACCCCCCTCTTGGCCGCTCCCGATGATCAAGCGGCGCAGCTCCAACCAAACCCGTGGCCGGCAGCAGTGCACGGCCGCGGGGAGGCGTGTGTTGTGCCTCCTCCCATGGGTTCGTGGGTGCGCGTTCGCCAGGATCGGGCCGGACGAAAGGGGGGGGGGGTGGGAAAGGGGGGGTTACGACGAAATTCTTGACGCTTCGCGTATCCCCACCAGCAGCGGTTGGCCGTGGTATGCCACCCTGTGGCTAGTGGTGCACCGCTCGCCGCGTGGGTCGGTGCGCACTGACGTCTCCCCATCGTCGCTCCCACGCTCAACCTGGTTGAGCGACCACTCCCTGGGACTTCGTGACTTCGGATTGCTTGTGCTGCTGTGGGTATGCGGCAGCGTCGTTTTCTCCGAGCGCTCTTCTCCTACTTGTCTTTGCGTGGGTGGAGAGCCGCTGGTTGTCACTGAGTCGATTCCTGGTACACGCCCACTCCCGATTGACCGTGTGTCTCTCGCCAGGTCGGGTGCAGGTGTACCTCTGCACTGCGGCACATCATGTCGTTGGTCTCCCGCGTGCAGGCGCATCCCTCCGCAGTTGTTCTGAGGGCCCGGTTGTCTATGACTTCTGGCGTACCCTGTCAGCCGCCGGATGCGTTTTCTGAAGCTGCGACGGTTCGCTGGCGCTGTCAGAAATTCCCCTCCCTGCTGGTCGACGTCAGCTCTACGCCTTCGGTCCGCTCATACCCGACTGACACCCTGGGCTCCCTGACACCTTCTTGCACGGAGACTGATTCCCACCACCATGCGATTGTCGGACCGACATGATCCATGACTGGGGATGTGCGGCGCGCCATTTTGGCCGCGTCCGCCTTGCTTCCTGGGTGGCTGACCCCTCAGACTCCCTGGGTTGCAGCTTGCACCCCCGCCTGGCCCCTCAGACGCCCTGGGTTGCAGCTTGCACCGCCGCCTGATCCGCGGCCCCCGCGCGCGCCCGGGTAATTCGTCACGGCCGCAGCCCGACCGTGACCCGCCGCCGCCGGCGCTTCCGCCTGCGGCTGTAAAAAAATAAAAAAAAGTATCCCCACCAGCCCATCCTACACCAGGCACTCGAACGAAGAGCGCCGATGATCGGCAGCTGTTCTCCTCCCCTCTTCTTTCTTCTCCTCCGCCTTCTCCTCCTCCTCCTCTCCTCCTCCTCCCTCTCCTCCTCCTCCTCCTCCTCCTCCTCCTCCGCCTCTTCCTCCTCCCTGGTGGCGTATTGGAAGTTTCTTCGAACGTTTTGGTGGGCTCTTGGGCCTTGCGGGCGGGCGGGCGGCGCTCCGCCCGCCCGCGCGCAGAGCCCAAGAGGGGGTCCAAGACGTCTTTTGGAACAGTCTTGGAGGAGATCGATCAACGAAGGGGGGTTCCCTAAGTACAGTCCCCCCCCCCAGGAGCCACGATCCTCGTGAGGGGTGTCGAATTTTAGCCTTCCCAGGAGTCGATCTTGGACGCTCTAACTGCCCGCGGCCCCCCCTGTCCAGGTCAGTGGGGAGGGGGTAGGGGGAGGGGTAAACCCCTCCCCGAAGGGGAAGAAGGAGGGGTGGAAGAGGAAACGCTCTAAACCACCGACGCCCAGAGGGCTGGTGGGATTTGCTGCATGCAGCTGGTTCCTGCCCCTCTGAGGGGCCCATTCCTCGATGCACAGTCGCCTCTGGCGCCAGGAGGCGCCGGGAAAATCAGCTACGCGAGCTGATTCTCACCCCCCCCCTTTGCTATCCCCCCCTTTCGCCCGACCCGACGGGAGGCACAGCCCCGCCTCCGGCGGGAGGCGAGCGCATGATGCTACGAGGCCAACGCGTGGGAAGGAGCAGGCGTGGCACAGCACGAATCACTGTGCGTGAGGGGGTTGGCGTAGACGGACCCCGAGCTCAGTGAGCACGTGTGGGCTGCGGTTGCCGTAGCCGCTTGGGTTCCCACCGCCATAACCACCACCTGCACCGCCGCGCTGCCGCGCGCACATGACTTCAACGTGTGTGCATTAAACTTGTCTTCTTATCGCTCTGGGGGGCGCGCACGGGCGCGCGCTCGCCGGAAGGCACAACCCCGCCCCCGGTGTGAAGCGAGTGCGTCATTCTACGAGGCCAAGACATGGGAAGGAGCAGGCGCGGCATAGCACCAAACACTACCCATCGTATGATTCGTCGTCGTATTTCGAGTCGTAGTCTCAAATCGGGCCTGTCCCTCTACAGGAGGAACATTCAAAAATAGTAGTACAAACTGTTTGGGGACTGTTCTTGAGTACTTCTGGGCCATCTCCGTCGTCGTCCATTCCTGGAGCATTCTACTGTGAGCAATCATTTGTTTTTTGTTTCTCGTCGAAAGTCCCCCTGCAGGGGGGACACGCCCGACCTGACCGTGGGCGTAGTCGCCGCAGCACGGGCCGGGACCGAGGCAGGGCGGCGGCGCCCGGGGCCCGGCCAG